TTGGTAAGCATCAGCCTAGAAGCGGAAATGAACTGATGATTTTTGAAATCACCACTGTTGTTATTTCCATTGACAGCCTTCGCTTAAATGTTTGCCTTTTAATGCTAGAAATGCCAAGGGGAAGAAGCCCCTCTTGAAAAGTCTAAATTCGATCATTTATTGATTGGATAACTACTTAAATGGGGATTGCTGACCTGACAGAACACTCTTTGGATGCATAAAGGAAGGGCGTTGGGTTAAACATAAACACCCTCTCTTTCATAGCCAGATCCCTACGTCTATTCAGAGTTATTTATTTCTTTCAAAATTTAAAAAATAAAAATATGTATATATACATATGTATATATATTTCCCAAGAAAATACAGTTCACACCTCATATATATTTCCCGCGAAGATAAATGACATTTAATTATTTTTATTCAATCAATATTAAATATCTATAACATAATATTATTATATAATCATAATATTTACGTTTATTACATAAAAGTAATACCCGTCTGAATTGGTCAAAAATCATCGTATTTTTTCGCAATCCTAATATATTCAGAGCCTAATGTGGGTTTTCAGCTCGATTCATGCTTTCCTAGCTTTTGAATAAAATATTTATATTGTTTTAATGATAAGGAATTCAGTAGAGAATATTTTTAGTGTCCAAATTTACAGAGGCGCATATTCCCTAATTAAATTTCTAAACGTCCATTCACAAACATGACACATTTCGAACTGATGATTGAATGAAGGAAATTAAAATTCATTTACATTATCTTGCCTTGCGTGAACAGCCGCACCATAGCAACTGTTAGTTAACAGAAATTGCTATTGTTGTCACTGCTCGCCGTACCATGCTTATTCATTGCATATGCGCAGGCGTTATTACAGTAGCTGCTAATCACATTGGAGTTTCTGTTTTCACACTCACGGCGAAGTCTACAAAATGTAATAGATGAAATTTTTTCCTAAGGTTTGAAACTTTACTAAATTAGTAAGGGAAGTTACCTAGTCACAATGGAAATTGACTGGAGGAGTTTGAAAATATTAAAGTAAATAACCATAATCAGCATTGCATCTTAATAATCCTTAATTTTAATTTATAATTTTTATATTTAAATACTAATTGTTTTAAAACTATAAATTGTATTATTAAAATTAAAAATTATGTATTTACATATTTGAGCCCGCAAAACTTAATATTTTACTTACAAAATGAGTTAGCAGAAAATGACAGCAACAATAAATACAGTTGTTTTCTTTCAAAATCAATGAATTATCGGAAAGGGGAAAACATGTACATTTATATATACATACACGTATGTATATTATGAAATGTGCACTTCCATTCCGTTAAGAGTGAAAAAAATTTAATTAAACAGAATGCTATTATTCCAAAAAAAAAAAAAAAAATAGCGACAACAACAACAAAATATGCGTACATGCAAAACAATGCAAGAAAAATAGAACTTTTTTTCTTTAATACTTTTTCCACCAACAAACATCAATTGGGGTTGATTTTTAAGGCTGACGTTAGCGCTGAGTATGATTGCAAAGTTGCCGTCGCTGTTCACAGTGATGCTGACTGTTGCTTGCTGTCGGCGTCATTGATATTGACAATTGGTTGGTTGGTTGTTTAGTGTTGATGATGATGTTGTGTGTAAATGTTTATGGTAATGGTGTTGTTGTGAGTTGGTTTTTATTTTTATTTTTCACAATGACAAAGATGATGAGCGAGCGTGTGCTGCACACACTGTAAGGAGGGTTAAAGGATGTGACGACGCTGACGATTATACATATCGTGATATCAGTCGTTTTAGCAACAATTTTAATATATTACATAATAAGAAAGGAAGAGAAAAAATTTGCTTTTGTATAATTGTTGTGTAAGTGTGAGTGTGAGCGTTGTTTCAACAGAATTGCATGGTTTTTATGTTGATTAAAACATGTATGTATGTACATATGTATGTATGTATGTATGTATGTTTGTATGTATGTATGTACATACATATTTACATAGCCATGAATATTAAAAAGTTGAGGTTAGAAGGCTAAATAAATATTTATGACTCGTTTGTGGGTATTTGCAATCAAATATAAATACTCATACATCTGGACAAATACATACAAACGTATACATATAAATATATATTCATTTTCAATTTATTTAACAATCCCATTATATACATATGCTAACTTTATGACAACCCTTCGTTTCGAATTCTACTGTCATTTCGAGTGTCCTTATTAAGATTTACCGCTTCATTGTTTTCAACCTCATTTTTTACTTGCATTCTTTCCTAGAAGAATGAGCTGTAAGGATTTTGAAGTGTTTCTCAATCCTGAATTTAGAAATCCTGTTAAAGTAATATTGAGAGTTTATCTAATTTAATTTTATAATATAGTACGATGGGCGGGACAGGGACGGAAATGAGCGGCCATATTAAAGAGCGCAAATTTGGTGTCGGATTCGTGGTGGAAGAGAGACTCCGTTGCCGAGCACTGTCATTCACCCCGATGGATGAACGACTCGCCAAAATCGTTGATTTGCGCCCACGGAAAAGAAGGACGATTTGGCCAAAGGTTCCTTTTATGAACGCCTAGAGCATACTTGGCAGCGCTGCCCACGACAGGACGTGGCGTGCGTACACTCCGAGGACCCAACAGACTGTTGAGCGGTTTCCTACTCGACTTGCACTCCTGCTCTCTGAGAGCACTCATCAGCAACCTGGTACACAGGAATAGTGGGACAAGATGCATGCGTATGAAGAGCTTAAGAAGCTGACCGACAAAGAAAGTGCTCGAAAATTATATGAAAAGATACGGCGACTTACCGAAGGTTTTAAGACCGGGGCAGACTTTCGTAGTATACAAAGAGGTGATCTAGCCACCGATACCCAAAGTATATTGAACTTGTGGAGGGAACACTTCTCCAGCCTGATAAATAGCAGTGAAAACGAAACCCCATTCGATGACTATGGAAAAGACGTTCCATTACATGGTCTTGAAGAACTACACCCGCTTAAAAACAACAAAGCGGCGGAAGCTGACGGCCTACCGTCAGAACTATTTAAACATGGTGGTGAAGCGCTGACAAGGTGCATGCATCAGCTACTGGCCGGACGAAAGCAAGCCCGTCGATTGGAGTTTAAGTGTGTCCTGCCCGATTCATTAAAAAGGGACCCACAGTCTGCGCAAATTATCATGGGATAAGCCTACCAAATGTAGCATACACGCTCCTATAGAACTTACTGTGTGAAAGACTAAAGCCCACTGACAACGAACTGATTGTGCCTTATCAGTGTTGCTTAAGACTCTTAAAATATTCACGATGGACCAAATCTTGGAAAAGACCAGTGAAAAGAGGATCGGCACTCACCACCTCTTCGTCGATTTTAAAGCCGCCTTCGACTGCAGGAATAGGAGCTGCCTTTAGGCCGATATACCTGCATTTGGTATCCCCGCAAAACATATACGGCTATGTAAGCTTACCTTGAGCAACACTTAAAGCTCCGTCCGAATTGGGAAGGACCTCTCCCAGCCGTTCGATACCAAACGAGGTTTTAGACAAGGTGACTCTTTATCGCATGACATTTTTAATTTATTGCTGGAGATACTAATAAGAACAGTTGAGCGGAATCTTCTGTAAGAGTGTACAGCTGCTCGGTCTCAGCAACCACAGCGAGAGTTTTGCTTTCTCCAGACTGGAAAAGGAAGCGATGAATATGGGTCTGGTAGTGAACGCAAGACGAAATATCTCCTGTCATCACACAAAAAGTCATCGAATTCGCGACTCGGCTCCCACGCCATTGTTAAAAGTCATAATTTTGAAGTCGTAGATAATTTCGTCTATCTTAGAATCAACGTTAACAGCAATAACAACGTCAACCTGGAAAATCAATGCAGAATTACTCTTGCCAACCGGTGCTACTTCGGACCGAGTAGGCAATTGAAAAGTAAAGTCCTCTCCCGACGAACGAAAAACAAACTCTAAAACTTCCTCATCGTTTCCGTCCTGCTATATGGTGCGAAAGCATGGACGATGACAATATCTGATGAGTCGGCGTTAGGAGTTTTCGATAGAAAGGTTTTGCGTAAGATTAACGGTCTTCTACGAGTTGAGAATGGCTAAAACCGCAGCCGATGGAATGGTGAGCTGTATGAGATCTATTTACGATGACCTTGATATATGCAGTAACCACCGGTGAAAGCTGAGAGAGAGAGGAAGACGCAAAAAAAGCGAAAACAAAAAATAATTGGCCCAACGTTGTTAACTCGGTTATGATCGCGTAAGCGATGCTTACGCTAGTTAAGAAGAAGAAGATTTTTAACCTGTTTTTTTTAATTTTTGCGTTCTTATATTCTATAGACATATTTTTATTAATATACATTTTTTATATACATTTTTTGAGTTTGTATTATTTTATCAAAGTTTATTATATGTTATTATTTACTTTATTTGTTCTTTTTTTAAAGTTACTCTACATTCTTTTTGCATTTTGCTGTTTTTATCTAAATATATTATTTTTTTAAATTGTAACTTAATTTAAGTTACTTTTTTGTCTTGTTCTTTTATTCTTTTATTTTATTTTATTTTATTTTATTTTATTTTATTTTATTTTATTGTATTGTATTTTATTTTATTTTATTTTATTTTATGTAATTTTGTTTTATTATTATTTCATTTATTAATTTATTATATAATTATTTGTTGTTACTTTTCTCCTTTTTATTTAAGTTTCTTTTTTCATTTATTTTATTTATTTTTTATTTTTATTTTGTGTTTATTTATTTCAGTCTTATATTATTCACTATTTTTTATTCTTTAGTTCTTCTGTAGCTGACTGGCAATTTGTCTATTAGATATGGCATTACAGTCTTATTTAGATTTATTTATGACTCATTTATTTTTAAATATTACTAACTGATTATAATTATTTTATTAACATTACAGCGTGTATGAATTATTAAAAAAAATTTGAATGACATAAAAAAATTAGATTGTTTAGTCATTAAAAATTCATTAACTAAGCGCAAAGCGATAAGCTAACCAAATTTTTGAAAAATCTCTCTCTCATTGGTTTATCAGAACTCATGTGTATCAGTGTGGGAAAATGAGAATCAGTGCATTTAAATCCATTACTCGATTTCGCAGGACATTTACATGGTTAAGTTTATCGCTGTTGGTGACTTATGGTGTGAGTTACCGTTCAATTGTGCTTTATGAAACATTTGAAAACAAGAACAATAACAATAAACATGTGAGTTTCTTGCTTATCTAACGTAGGAGTGCGGTTCTTTCTGCAAATTTTCGAATGTAATGTGTCAGTCCTATGACAAATCGAAGTTAGTTTTCAAGGCTTGTCATCTGAAAGCGGTACGTGGTGAGGACAGTTATATGAAAGTGCATGCACATATAAAGGAGGTGGGAAGGGAAGCTAATGTGAGTGATACTAAATAATCATTTTGTAATTAATTTAATTTAAATTTTTTATTTCCAATTAATTTTTTATTTTTGTGTTATATGAATTAATTATATTTTAATTTACTAAAGTTTAACTAATTTATTATTTAAATATTTTTTTTTTATTTTTATTTTTTTACTTGATATTTTTTGTTTTATTTCATTTTATTTTATTTATTATAATTTTTATTTAATTTTAATATTTTTATATAATACATAACAATAGTATTTAGAGTCTCCGATTATCAAAATTTCTTATCATTTAGGTCTCTGTACGCCTGCTGAAACGTGCTAATGGCTGGAAACCGTTTCTGTATAAAGTCACCTTCGACGCTTGTAAATTTATGAAAAATCCTAAAGCAAATCCAATTGCCGAATTTTTCTACAACATAATGAAAGAGTATAGCAATGTGAATCATACATGCCCATACGAAGTAACTGAAATTATTATATGTATGTATATGTGATTTTTTCTACTCATATTTCCTTTCCAGCACGACCTTATTTTGGATAAATTTCGTCTCAGCGGCGATTTGGTAAAACTGCCGTTCCCCATTGGTGAATATGCTGTGGACACAATGTGGCATGTTAATGGCCAGTTATGGGCTCGTGTTAATGGTTCCTGCAAAGGAGCGGTGGATATGTAATAGCGTGAGAAAGACTTAGGTACAAAAATTCTCATAATCTGCATATTAAACATTTTAGCGACAAGCGCTTAAAGGAGAAACGCGTTGTGCTCTCGATCAACATCAAATAAAAATTAAAATACTAATTTTAATTTTTTTTTAATTATCTTTTCTCAATTTAATTTTATTTTTATTTTATTTTATTATTTTTTATTTTATTTTATTTTATTTTATTTTATTTTTTATTTTATTTTATTTTATTTTATTTTATTTTATTTTATTTATTTCTTTTATTTTTATATTTTTTCAATTTTATCATTATTTTTTTTATATTACTTTATTTTACTATTTTTTCCTTTATCTTATTGTATTTTACTTTGCCAAATTTTATTTCATTTTGTCTTTTTTTATCTCAGAATATTTTATGTTAGTAAATTTTATATAATTTTTAACTTTTTATATCTTAATTCAATTTTTTATTTTTATTTGTCTTATTATATTTTATTCTATTTAATTTAATTTGTTAAAAGTTTTTTGTTTTGGAGAACAGAAACGGTTATGTAAGGACTTCCACCCAATTTCCTCTACCCAATCGTCATAACATTTCGTGCATCAAAGTGGTAAATTGAATTATTTGCATAATCAGCCATTTACGGTGGAGCAATCACTCTCAACCCAAAAGCTACCCATTTTTTACGGTATTTGGACAAATATTACTTTCTATTCGTTTGAGAAGCGTTTTGTGTGTTTCCTATGAAACAGAGTTGCTCAATCGCTTCACTATGCTTTAGTTCTCTAATTTTGTTGTTATTAGGAACTAAAAAGCATTCCAGCTGCGTGTGCTTCTGTGTGAAATTTTTTGTTTCAGGCATTTAATGCGTGGGCTCTCTGACTTCACTTTTCGTTGTTGGGCATTGTGTGACAAGTCATCGTAATTTTTTCAAAGACCAAATTGCGCCCGCTGCGTAGTAATGTTAATGAATGTTGTTGATGGCTTATTTGTGTAATATTTTGCGGTTTTGGAAGTGGTTTGCCTTTGCCTTTTGCGATGTCTTTTTTTCATTTCGTTTGACGTGTATGTCATTTGGCCATTCATTCGCTTTGATGTTGTGTTGACGTGTTTGTGTCAAACAATTCAAATTTCTACGTTGATTTGCATTGAGTGAAATATGTGAGCGCTAATTTATTTTGGTGAATTTATTTATGTATAAGTTTGATTGCCAAAATGAAAAAAAAAATAAATAAAAATATATTTATGTAGAGACTATATTCCAGTATTTTGTGGTTTGATACTCGTAATAAATAAATTTTATTCAATTTTTTTTTATTCTATTAATGACGTCTAAATATTCTTTGTTTGTTACTGCCTCTTTTAGTTAATCCCAAATTGAAATCAATGAGAACGATGATAGCTTATGGGGTTATTGAAGGGACTTATCAGCCGATCGTTGGGTTATCTTTTGTATAGAACGGACAGATCATAATCTGACATTTCTTGTATCATACATTAACATTTATTAGAGTCTCGTCCACTTATTTGTAGACAAAAGACTTCGTGTAGGTTTTCGGGTCTGACATTGCCAAGCGCAGCTATCACTTCAAGATTCAACAGGCTAGAGAATTTTTATATTCGAAAATTTAATATGCTCCGATCGAGGAGCAGGGTATCTCACTTTTAGGTTTTTGGAATCGTGTTAAATTCTTCATGGTTTCGGTTTTTTTTTATATGTATGTCAGAAAATCTGAACCTCATTTCGAAAAAACTGTATAAGGCATATATGTGATCTATTTCCCTTCGACTCCAGTAAGACATTCTACGTTATATCCAACAACAAGTGATCCAGAAGAAAAACGATTGTTGTCTTCGTGTAGATATGTCGAGAGCTTGGAATTGTCTCTCTTGAGACGCTATGGTGGCAGCGTTGAATTTTATTCCAATACATAAATGTGAACCATTTAGACATGACTTAAAATTCTAAGTATTTCGATGGCTGGAAAAACCCTCAGGACATTCTCCGAAAATTGGTGTTATTAGCTTCAGGAATAGCTAAAACACATAGGAACGTGCTAAGTGGTCTAAGTTTGGCTTATAACTATCATTTTTGAAGAGCTAAAAATCGACAACCAAGTGGTTGGCATTGTCCGCTGTCTATCGAAAGACTGGGACTCGATTCTTGGTTCAACTAATATCCAACCAACCAAGCCACCAATACGCAGGAAATTTCAAGCCCTCCGAGTGTATTTCTGACATGAAATAGAAAGCAAACTGCTTTTAAAAATCCGTCAGGCGTTCGGATGCGGCTTAGAATAAATTGTAGATCCCTCCAGATGTTGTGTAACATCAAGACGTGTACCAAAAATTGAAGGAGGGACTCGGCCGAAATTCGCTTCAGCGGTTATAAAGAGCTCAATACATTCCAGAGGCATGTAAGTGATTGCTAAATATTCGAAAGCGTACATTATTGCATATTTAGATGTCTATCAGCACGTACCAGAAATGGCCTAATGATTCCAATATTCGGATCGAGCTCTCTGTCGAGTCCACACTTTTTTACGAGCGAGTAGACTCAATAATTCCTGTAACAAATGGAATAGTCACACAACACTATTTCTAATTTCTCTCCGGAACTCACCTCCGATCTCCACCCCATAAATTCATTAAATAAAAGGATACTAATGGGTCTACATAGATGTGAGGCCAGCATGGGAGAAGTGAAATAGTAAGGGACTATCACTAGCGCCCCAGACCATACAGGTGTAAAAGGTGCGCTTGTGCCGTTGACAAGGCTATCACCCACGACTGTCCCAGATGCTTTACCGCCTACTTTTGAGAGTGTCCCGCCTTCGACCGATTGAAACGTCACATCACCAGGTCCAACAAGAGAGGGGTGAGCACGCAAGGTTAGTAAAGATCTATGCAATTTATAAAATCGAGCGAACTTTCGTAAAGGCTTACTTGGGATACATAGAAGAGCGCAATGAGCCTGTTCAATGCCTCAAACGCGACCACTTGCGAGTAGGTCATTATTCTCCCGTTTTCAGCCGACCAACCAACCAAAAGGGGAAATGACCTGCGTCACCTCTAGTTTTATCCTATGAAGCTCACTCCTCAACTTCTTGAAAAACCATTGGGCATGATGAATACATTTATGTGTGTCATTTAATTTCATTTTTACTACTTCAACATCCTCTTCCTCCTACCACTCAAAGCTTGGTCAACCACCGGAAAAGTTCCTTTAACTTTCTTAAACTTGCTGATCAGGCAGGTCTGACTGAGGAACGATATATCCAAGGTCCTATCTGATTCTTCTTATTCACCGATATCGAATTGTAGGCTTCCAATTTCACAAAAAAGACCTTGAAGACACAAGACATAAGACACAATTACAGCAATTAATGCAACATAAAAACTGCCAGTAAAATTGTTTCTGGCTTAAATTTACCAAGACAACAAATTTGATCAAAAGTTTGAGCTGCAACAAAAATGCACTCGAAGTATAAACTTGTCAAATTTATGGACTTGAAAATGGGTATACATACATACATACACACATTCTTATGTACTTACATGAATATGTGTAAGTCACCTTATATTCGATTACTTTCATATGGTCATAGAGTCGCATATTTTATTGCATTGCATACATACATACACACATGCATACAGCCATTTCAGGCGCATTGCAATGCTGCAATGCAACAAGTGTAAAATTTGTTGGCAAAAATTAATTAAACAAAATTGCGGTAACGTGCTGTCATTTTACGTACGCATTACACACAGTCATACACATAAACACATGAATTTATGTAGGCGTACAAACATACATCATGCGAGAGGCTAACAAAAGTTCGGTCAGTTGGTGACTTTCAATTTGTTTTTGTTAAATCTAGAAATTTCAAAGATTAGTCTTCCTTTCAAATTTTAGAACGATCGTCGAAAATGGAGACGAGGAAACGCAAGTTAGCTGAGGATAGGTCAGACGAAACTCCACCACCAACGCAAACAGAAATTCGCTATGTGATTCTTTTCGGGTTTCGGTGTAATTTACAGTTTGCATATCGAACGATAGCATCGCCTTTAGAGACTACTTCTAAGTGGTTACGAAGATTCTAGATCGGTCATTATTCCGTAGAGGATGAGCCCCGAGAAGGTCGTTCAAAACCTTCCCCTGATGACGTCACTGTAGTTCTGGTTAAGTCCAAAAGTGACGAAGACCCACGACTGACACAAGAAATAATTGCTAATGAATTGGGCTTGAATGTACCGTGAAAATTGAGCAATCATATGTGATATACGAAGAAATCTGCTCAATGGGTACCACAAATTTTCAGTGAGGCCATAAAAGAGGCCCGAGTACATTTTGATAAATATTTTCCTAAACAAATTCGAAAATGGTCAATCTAGTGTATTTAGTAAAGTTTTTGCTGGCGGCGAGCCTTGGTTCTATAAGTACGATCCAGAAATCAAGCAGTTGGATTGAAGCCCACCGAAGCAAATCCAGCCCTAAAATCCAAAAGCAGCAGCAAAAGTAATGATGTCAGTTTACTTACCTCGATCTCAAATCGTAGCTGCTATTGCACTGGAAAAGGGTCAGACGATAATTGCAAAATGGTACACCGAAGAGTGATTACTAAAAGCTTTCAAAATCTTGTTGGAAAACAGGAAGAAGAGGATTTGCTGAAATAACGAGTAATATTTTAGCGATCTCTGGGCTCTCAGAAATACGTCCAGCAATATATTCCCCGGATATAGCACCTTGAGATTTTTTGTTATTTTAAAAAACTAATAGCAACGAGGAGATAATTAATGCGGTTGGTGCTGAGCTTGAAAGCAGGGTTTTCAGAAGTGGATCTACTATACAGGCTTAATAAATGCCTTGAAATCAATGGCGATTATGTAGAGAAATCAAAAAAGAGGACAGAGATGACGAATAAATATAAAAATAATTCTTTTTTTTGTTTTTTTTTTTCTTTTTTCTTTTTTCTGGTCAACTAAACGAACTTTTGTTAATCCCCTCGTATATATATGACCGTATGTCTTTGTGCGCTTGCATTTATGAGCTGTTATAATTCAGTAGTTGCAATCAGCTTTATTTGGCTTGTCATTGTGGCGTTTGGCGTTTAATTGGTAGCAACTTTGCTTTGCGCAACA